TAAATAATTATTTATCGGTGATGCGTTTTTTAGTCGGTGAACTCTAGTAACCTAACGAGGAAAAACATCCCACAGTGGAGGATGTTAGCGTTTTCTTTAGAAAAAAACGCGTCTGAACGCGTTATAAAAACACGCAAAAAGTCGAGCGAAAACATATTCACTTAAAACAAAACGTGTTTCAACGCGTCTTTTTGTTTTAAATTTTTTCATCGGTATCGCTTCAAGCTGTTTATAAAAAGAAGGATGTGGATTTTCCACTAAGTTATGAAGTCGTTTATGAATTGATATGTATTGTTTTGATGTTGTTGGTGTTTGATCATATTCTGCTTTGATTATATCTGTATGAGACATATTTTCTAGTTCTTTTCCACAAACGTCTACAAATTTGGATTATTACATAGAAAAGCTGAATTCATTTTTCGATGTCAACCTTTCTCATTATTATTTTGTTTTATGTGTATTACTTAATACTCGATTACGTATATTTATGATTAAAAACGATTAAAACAAAATGACTGTACAGACTATTTGCTATATCTCCCTTATATAATGATAGAATAGTGTTTTTTTAGCAAATTGACAAGAGACAAAAAACCATCATCTTTTTATGAATAAAAAAGAAGATTAATCAATTCGTTAGTTGATCAAATCGAAATATCTTTTCTACTTGATCGAATCAAATTTTAAAATTACTATTGATCATTAATCAAACTATATGAATATTCATGAACAATTGTCCTCGTAAGCAACGGTACATATGAAGAATTATCCACGTGAGGAAGTATCCTTGTGAGGAACCGTCCATGAACTACTGTCCTTGTGAGCACCTGTCCTAAACCCATCGGAAGTAGCGAGCGACTTTGGCTGAAAATGTCATTTTTCAAAATCGATTTTCTTTCATGGCATAAGACGAATTTTGGAAATATTTGGAACACAAGCAGAGCTGAGCAAGTCAAGTCAAGTCATTTTTAACTTGATTTGACTTGACCTCGGACGCTTTTGATGACTCATGGCTTGACTTGACTTGTGACTTGGTGAAAAATCAAGTCAAGTCATGCATATTTTTAAACCGCTTATGCAACCTAATTTTAAATAATAATTCATAATGCTCGTTAGAGCATTGTCCTTTTTTATGATTATCTTTTGAAACACATATTTTTGTGAAATACGAAAAACAAACATCGTATCTAAAGAAAAATTCGAAGCTCGTAGAAAACTTGGAACCTGCCCAGCTCTGCTGCGGGCATTTTTCTTCGGAAAATAAAAATTCCAAGTCATAACTTGTGACTTGGCTTGACTTGGAAAACCACGAGACTTGGCTTGATTTGACTTGAGAAAATTTTTAATGACTTGATTTGACTTGAGACTTGGAAAACCCGTGACTCGCCCAGCTTTGGACACAAGTAGTCCCGAGTCGGGACTCCCGACCCTGGTCTGTTACTAGATGAAAAGATTTCGGTGTACTATGTGATTGCTACTCAAAGCTAATATATTTTCTCAGATGACGAGTCGATGATTCGAAACATTAGAATAAATTTGAAATAATAACTAATTTTTGCTGCAAAATAAATATTATAAGCTTACAAAAGTCCTGCCATTACATACCCTTAAAGTAGCCAGTTTTTCTTTAGCCGGTAAATAAAAGGAAAGTGCTACCCGTAGGTTCAAGTGTGAGTTTCCGGTTACAGAAATGGCTCTTATGCCATTCGGAAGCATAATGAGCGCTTTAACTTCTTATACATTCTTAAACCTTAAATGGATTTATTCTTTCTGTTATTGAGTGGTGTATCTGTTTGCTCGATAAGGATCGCTGTGACAGATGATTTCATAGATTGTACAAAAAGGTAATCTTATATCTTAATGTACTATTTTCTCAATAAGGGAATTGTAACCATGCAGATTTAATACATTTATTTTATTGTCATTTACTCTCAAAAATGATTTAAGTTGGAATCGAAAGCTCGAGTGTTACAAATGTTTTTAAACTTCTCTTTTCTCTACTTCTCGTTTTGAGTATGCCATCATAAAAGCTTTCGAATGCTATTCCTTTCTTTTCCCAACAAAACAGAAAGCAGGTAAAAGCCGACTTTTTTCTGTAAAGTCTGCACGGTTAAAGTACACTTATTAAAAGAAATAGTACGTTAAGATGTAAGATTACCTTTTTGTACAATCTATGAAATCATCTGTCACAGCGATCCTTATCGGGCAAACAGATACACCACTCAATAACAGAAAGAATAAATCCATTTAAGATTTAAGAATGTATAAGAAGTTAAAGCACGCTTAATGCTTCTAAATGGCATAGGAGCCATTTCTGTAACTGGAAACTCACACTTGAACCTACGGGTAGCACTTTCCTTTTATTTACCGGCTAAAGAAAAACTGGCTACTTTAAGGGTATGTAATGGCAGGACTTTGTCTAAACTTACTGAACGTTATCGGGCTAATTAATTAAGTAATTAAGTAGTTAGTATAATTAATCTGATATTTTGAAGCGAGCTTAGCTTTTTTCTGCTTTAATGTAGCTTTAGAAACCTACATATGTTGGGTCTTTAGTCTGGGTTTTGCATTGAAAGCAACCGAAGCTAAATAAGCGTTGGGTTCCATTTGAGAGATAAGATTGTTTCGAACTGGTTTCTATATCGACATTTTCTGTCGATCTTTAATCTGATATTCAGTCATTAAATAAAAAATAGAGAGTAAAAAACGAAGAAAGAAGCAGAATGTACAACAAGTTTACTTTGTATTTAAAACATTTTTATTATTCTTAATTTTCTTTTAGTTCACTGTTTATTTATTGTTTCTACTTCTATTTTTGATTGTTGCTGGTAATCTAATAACTAATAATACTTCTGTTGCGTTTTGTCCTTAGTCGACTGTATTTTTATTTAGTAATTCTTTATATTGATTAGGACGCATGTCAAAATTTAAATTCTAATTTATTTTATTTTATTTCTCATTCGATTGTATTGTGGATACATACACACATTGGCATATATATACACTCTACGAAAAACGTGTTCTTCGTGTTTTCAGAGAACCAGTTAAAGATCTCATTTAAGTTCTTTGAAATATGAAGAATTTAATTTCTATTTTTCAATAAAAACTGAGTTTTTCACTCATTTCACTCGAGCCCGGACTACCCTTATAATTACTTTTATCTAGCCATTTACTAAGTCCTATACCAATGAGTGTATTTATAAACGTTTTTGGATATCCATTTAGCTTAGCTAGACGCTTAATTTCCTGGAACTCCGCATCTAATAATTTATAAGTGGAGCAGATTGCGAGTGATCTTTGAATTATACTCACAATCGCGAATTTTGTATAGCTACGGGGAACACATGAAGACCATTTAGTCATTAATCCACTAAAGGTCTTTTTTCGGTGGACCGTTGTCTGAAATTGATTACTATTCAAGGATCGTATACCTTTAACATCCAAGAACGGTATGAAATGATTGGTTTTAATTTAATTACAAAGTTTTTCAATAAAATAAAAATTACTGCTGTTGTTTTATTATGCTTAATAAGTAACTGATAGTTACTTCACTACTGGAATCATAATACTGGAAACGCAGTTATCGTTAAAGTAAGGGCAACTGTTTTTCTAGTTACCGTTGTCGATAACGGCCGAAGAAGTAACGGGAACTTTTACAGTCCTACCCATGCCAATGTTTGAAATGTTTAAATGATGTTGTTTATGTGAGTGTCACTTTGTTTTCTCTGTTAGTCAAATGACCCCCTGAGTAAACAACAAGAGCTCTGTTTTGATTCTTACCGTTGAGTTGCGAAAAATATACCATATACAACTTGTCGCGCTCTGTCGAATGAGAACCACAAAAGGATGTGTCACAGCAGAAGCAGATTGAAGGATATTGTCCGAAATAGGCAAAATGCGTTGTATTTTACCGTTTTCAAGATCAAAATAATGTCTTCCTTTACATTGTTTCCGTCTTAAGTGACAGATATTATAGTTCGTAGCAGAAACTGAGTTGAATCATATATAAGAGTCACTTGCTAACTAACATTCCTAGGAATGAGGTCATATAAGAAATTCTATTAATTTCAAAGAAACACTACTTGTTTATTGCCACTATTACACAATATTTCTTTCTCCAGATGTTACCACATGCATCATTCTTGGTTTTGATTTCTCTTTTGTCTTTTCCCGTAACAGTAACTACAGGCTAGCCATTTTATTGATATTAGAAGCAACAAACGCCTAATTATTTGAAGACGTTAAAACAATCTAGAGTCGACATTATGGAGAACATGGAAGAAAAATTCCTAGAATTACTATATCTAGTGTTCTTCAGATATATTATCCTTTTGCTCGACCATAAGATGGATTTTAATTTTGAAACAGTGCAATCGATAGCCCGAGCCGAGATCTACAATTCTAGACCAGTCTTAACGCTCTATCTCTTATGATTCAGGAGCTATAAGCATTTTCTCGAGTTTCCCCGATTTCGGCCAGTAGACCTTGGGCGATCCTAAAATGAGTCAAGACAGGAGTAATCGGTCACGCTGAGCCAAGTGGTTATGCTTATGCTTAGTTTCAAACGGACCTAAGTCACTATATCAAGATTTTTATATTAAAGCATTCTACCTATGCAGGTTAGTAGTGCTGTATGTAACAGTTCAGCAAAATTAATCCCTGTTTGACCCCAGTATTAAATTTTCGAGCAGAGTGAAAACAGGTGTTTATCATTCAAACGTCTTCTAGGAGTCTACGGGCAGATTTAATCACTCCTTCGGAAAAAGAATTTTTTTGTTCTGGAACATATGCATACGCGTAACGATATATAAATACAGTTATCGAATTATCAAAAAATTATATACTTCTACTACAAGTCAATCCCTACAAAATACTAACTCAATGTTGCCGAATGGTAACATCCGGCTTGAGAGTGTTAAATATTGATATTAGCTATGATTCCTCATTTGTTATCAATTTTTAATTCGTGATTTGGTAATGAAATAATATCGGTTACGCGATCACCACCAGAATGTCGGATATGATCGATCGGATGGAATATTGTTGATTATTAAAGCAGTGCATAGCATAACTAATTGAGCTGAAAGGACAGGCATAAAAATGAACAAAAATCCTGCCCATTCCTTCGGATGTTCACCGATAACTGCAATTAGCGCAGTCGCTCCTGCAGGCGGATGTAACGTTTCAGTATATAGCATTAGACCAATCGATATTGATACAGCCAACATTGCAGCAACTGAGCATTCTCGATCAACTAATAATATGCGAACAATACAACCAACGATGGCGCAGATTAGTTGACCGCCTATCATATTCCTTGGCTGTGAAACAACTGCTTTTGGTTGAGCAAACAACAGAACAGCTGTGGCACCAAACGATCCAATCAAAAAAATGAAGCCGCTCCTAAAGTAATAAAGACAAAAAGTAGTTCAACAACAAAAAATTTCAAGAACATATTCACTGCTGTAGTAATCGGTAGTGCAGGAGAGCCACAATACCCATACTGATGATACTGCCTACAAAGGACAAGGCAAGGTCTTCGTATGTGACACGCGGTGGACGTTGTTCATGTTTTCCAACCCATTTTCGTAAATAGCATCTGATCCATTGCATACAGGCACATGAATTTGAATTGAACTCATCCAGTTCACTGAGCTCCGCTTGCTGAGTTCCCAAATGGTATTCTGGTTTTGAAATCGTTTCTGTTACACTATCAACTGCATCACGATTAACAATATATTTACTGCTGCATGTGCAACCAACTTGTACTATAGAATTCGACTTTTCGTCTTTCATGATGAACAAGTTCTCTCGTTAAAAATTGAAAATACGATAACGAATATATAAATAACAAATATAAAAAATCATAAGCAATAATGATGACGAATGATTTATGATGTTCGATCGAATGATGTGATGCGAACAAATTGCTGAGAAATAAATGTTGATTCTTTCAATTCAGCATACACTCCATAAGAGAGAACGAAAGAAAACCTGTGAAAAATTCGAAAAGCATTGCGAAGTACACTGGTAAGAAAGAAAAGGCGGAATTTATTATTTATTTAACTGGAATTAATATTTACGCTATGAGAATTTAATCGAATGATAAGTGCCTTACAAAGTAAAAATTTGTGCAGAAACAGTTTTAGCGACCATCGCTGATATTCAACTGACCTGCTCATCCTGTAAGTCAGAAAGTTATGAAACAGATAGCACAGATGATGACATATCGAGCGGAAGACGAGCGATAACCGAACGATTTTTGCATTTTACATCAACATCGAAAATATGCTCAAGCGTTAAGGTATTTAATTAGTTTTTAAGCGAAATTGCGTTGTTTAAAGCTGTTCTTTTTTTAGCGTAATACGCGTTTTCGATCAAACAGTACCGAAACAACGCTGAGGCAACAGACAGAAGATATTTTGCTTCCGATGTATGATGGTAGAATATCACGATTATACAAGAACAGTTTTGACCAGTTGTGAGTTGGTTAATAGGTGTGTTAGAAACTGATATTCTGGTTTCCCTCACAGGCTTGAAGTCAAGATAAGTATTCTGCAAAACAGAAACGAAAAACTAAGTAAATCAATTGTCCGACAGGATTCCATTCGTGCAAGACTTGAAACCAATTATCAATAACAGCTTCAGTTTATCAAGATTAGAATTATGATGAGCGCACAATAAACATTATTTTGATTGATTAAAACAGCAATACCAATTGCTGCGAGATTTGACATCCGGGTTATATTGAGAATTTGTTCCCGTTATTTTAAAACATTTTATCAAATTATCAACAACAAGTGAGAGAAAATACGCAAATATTCGGCGCAACTACACACATTACAACGCGCTAAACACTGATTTGTTCAAAACATCGAAAAAATGGCTAAAAATATCATCGATTTGCTATAATATCGTCAGCAGTCAAAATGAGAACAGTGTGACGCCAAAACAACATCTGCTGGCTAACGAGATCATGAAGCATGAACGTCGTACAGAGTGATGACCTTATTTAACCGTTTTGGACACGTATGTAGCTAAAACGATAACCCGACTTCACCCAAAAGCGGCCAAAGATGTAGGAGGACAGGGAGTTTTACCAAGATTAGTTAAATCAAAGATAGTCATCACTGTGAACATTGTATTCACATTTTAAATCAGATCATTATACGATATGACGAACACGATGAACTATTATATGACATGAAACAGTGTTTAACAGACTTAGTCGATACTGCATTACATTCGATTGACTAGTACCAAAAGTGTCTTGGTGCAGTGACAATAGTGTCGGTGACGTCAGTCGCTGGTAACAGCTCCACAAAAACAGAGGTGATGTACGAGCCATTTTTCGATGATTCGTAAGTACTGTTTTCTGTCTACCCGATCAGATTCCTAGAATATCTATTATTTTAGATTTTCTCCATTATTGATAGTCTACGCGTTGGCTAAATGTACGAATAGTTGAGGGCCAGAATCGAATAGGACAAACAATTCAACGTTTGTTCAGTTTCCATTGCTGTCCGGTTTCTTGCCCACTTATTTGCCGTTTAATCCAAGAAAAACTCATATAATCTCATCGTGCTCGCCTACTAAGCAAGATTCTAGCTCATTATGTGCAAGCAGCAGATGAATATTTAAAGAGTACAAAATCAGCACTGCCGGATATAAAGTTTTAACGAGAAGCAGTAGTAGTTGTTGACGAAAAAATTTGCAGAGACTGTGTCTAGGTAAATTTGTCAGATATTCTCATCTTCGCCTCTGATTTTTCTTCTTTCTAGGCCAAACAAACCAGTACTGCATTTGAAAACGTTTTTATCTATCCAGGTGAATTTCACATAATGAAAAACATGATGGTCCTGGTATAGGACGTATTACAAGTAATAGGGATGGAAGATATCCTTGGCGAACTATATAAAGCGGCAGCTCTACGTTCTATTTTAAATGCTCATAAGCTAAACAAATCGCTGAGAATTTGCAGATTGATTTATACCGCACTATCAATTTTGATAATAGAGGAATTTTGGAAGACATCACCATCAACTGCCAAACTCAAGTCGATGATAGCGGAAGCGCCAAATGAGCATACACATCGGACAAGTGATTTACAATTCGAATGGTTCCAAAATATTTTGGACGAAATGAGAAGTGAAAACTTAGCATAGGCAATTCGTCGCAGCCAGCAGAACTTAACGTTTAAATTTAGGTATTTCGTGTTGAAGCATTTATTCGAACCAATAATTGAATTATGCATGTCAATCAAAACATCTAACTTTTTAACACCTAATTCATTATTAAGTAAAATTGCATCGTTATTCTTCGTCAATAATCATCGAAATTACGCACGTTTATTTGCATAACACTTTGTCGATTTTGCGATCGAGCTCGAAGTATCTTCTGGAACGTTTAGAGTGTTCATTTGTCGTTAGTCGCACAAACCGTCCATTCTCTGCAATAGCAATGGATCAAACGATTGAATTGCACCATAAATAGAGTAGGCAAAGGGTACGGGGGTATATTCGGTGGATTTGACAAAAACAACGCCATTTACTCAAGGTTAATCGACAGGAAGAAACCATACATAGTTTGACGTAATAAAGATCACTATCATTTTATAATTACACATTAGTATTCATCATTTACTCTCTGCTTGATCAGTAGATAATATATTACACATATAAGTTTGTTTTTAGACTGAGGTAGTCAAACCTGGAGAAAAGATGAAATTCGTACAATATGTGTTATTGTGCTACACGGTCCTGTTGGGCATAGCTGTCACCACGTAGTGCTGAACTTTATTATGGACGTGGCATGCTTAATTATAAGATTGGTAGAGGTCAAATAGCACTTCAGGATCATAGTAAAGCATTGTCGTTAGAAGCGCGATTTCGTAATGTACAGCAGAAGACAGTAGAATCTATTGAAGTTGAATGATCGTCTGTGGTACTGAATATCAGTGGAAATGCATCCGCAATAGCAACAAAAGAAGCTTCACGTGATTACAGCCAAGGTGCTATAGAAGATTTAAAAAAAGTTGTTGAAATTGAACCAAATGTATGTCTTCCATTTATATATTTGGCAAGAGCTGAATATGATAAAGGTGATTATAAGTCAGCAATGTCACATTTAGATGACATGATTGCTGCTAAAAATTCTGAAAGTCTTGATGATGCTATTGAAAGCGATCAAGTTGAAATAAACGAATTACAGACAAATATTTAGCTACAATTCTACTAGATAGAATGAGCAGGATAGTATCAAAAGAAGTGAATGAACATGATTCTGCCAAAGTAAAAGAATTAGAAAATAAATTAGAATCAGTCAGAGAAGATCTGGATATGTTGCTAAAAATTAATAAAACAAAAAATTGAAGTTCTAAGAGATATTGAAAACTTTGAATCAACACCTAAACTGTATGAATTTTACCACACTCTTCTGATAAAAGTAGAAGCAATATTTTTCGGCTCTAAAACTATACATAGTGGTCTTGTTGAGACTACTTCCGAAGGTAGAATGGGAGAAGTAGGAGTCATTGAATTGCTAGGAGAAACTTTTCATCTGGTACCTGTTTTGGGTGATTCAGCCGGTAAGTTTGTTACTTGGATTGCCACCACACTTTTAAAAACTATTGATCATATACGTATAACGAATATTATTAAACAAATTGCTTCATTAGATTCAACAATAAATATGTGGAAAGCAGCTCACAGTATGTCATGCGAAATAACAAAACGTTATCGTTCTTAAATTGAATTATTAAAAGGTTGTGATAATAATAATAATGACGAAAAACCTGTATCATTTCCTTCATGTATAACAAATTGTTTTAGCAAATCAAAAAGAAGTAAGATTCAGCTAATGCAAAATTCAAGTGGAATTTTGTTTTGACTTTATTATACATATTCAGATGCAGTTTAACGAGCTGATTACGAATAACACCTTCCGAACCTCCAAAAGTCATTTCTTCGTGGAGTAAAACTCAAATTACTGAGAAGACTTCAAAAATACAAAAAACCGTTTTCTTTGATGAAATTGACTTTTTGTGCTTGTATTGCACGATGGAAGGTTCGAACTATATTTTTCTGAATCAGCATTAAAAACTGATTTAGAAAAAGGTTTTCAGTTCATTTCATAGGTATACCTATGAAATGAACTGAAAACCTTTTTCTAAATTAGTTTTTAATGCTGATTCAGAAAAATATAGTTCGAACCTTCCATCGTGCA